TGAAGTATGATGGCACTGAATGAATGGTAGTTATGGCCAGTCCTTGAAGTTACACCCGTTGCTGTCACATGACCAAAATTCAGGTGCTTGGCAGCCCACCAGCATTTACAACCACAGTGTGGGTTTCAACTCCCCTCATCCGCCTATCTCCCCCCATCTATGTCCTTTTGGCTGCTCAGCACACCGCCACCACCGCCTACCCCTGCCGCCCCCAGCTGACTTCACTGTCTTCTTCCTCCTGTTGCTGACGAGGCATGCTCGGCTGAGGCAACTGCTGGTCCTTCACAATGCTGGCAGCTGCCTCCGACAGGCATGCCTCGTGAGCAGCAGGAGGAAGAAGACAGTGAAGTCAGTTGGGGCCGGTAGGGATAGGTGGCAGCGATGTAGTACAGGATGGCCAAAAGGGCAGAAATGAGGGGGGAGATAGGCGGGCAGAGGGAGTTGAAATGGAGGTGAGCAGGTCAGGGCAGGAGAAGCATGAGGTCCTTGCCTAACAACTGCAGCCGGGTCTACCGGAACAAGATGTGATGTTATGCCTAATGGCCGCTTCAGTTAGCAACAGACATTCCGGTCCCAATTAGGGTTGTTAAGCAAGGACTACCTGTATATAATTTCTTCTTCAACTTGTTCACATACAGCTGTCCTGAATAATTTCTTTTCATGTCACGAACCACTACAATGGACATGCAATGCCAGATCTTTCACTCAGGCAGCCTGGTGATGCACAGATGAGCTTCATCCCCACAGCATACATTTCCCGTGACACCAGACTGGCTGGATTTATGTATGTATGTATGTATGTATGTATTTGCCATTTTTTAATGGTCTCTTTTCAGCTTCCCCTGCCCCCCACTCCCCCAGGAATAGTTAGGATATGTTGTAGACTGCCAGACAAATAAATATAATGTAAAGTCAAGATAAGCTAATGATTTTCATTTTCCTTTTCTCTGAGTTTCTGAGCCAACAGAATCAAGGTGATTGAAAATTATCTTCAAATTGTTTTTGAGGGTTCAGGGAATGGAAAAGGTGCAGCTGTTCGATGCCAGTGATAGAATTAGATCTATTGCCGCCTTGCCTGTGCAGCCAAAGACTCTTCAAATAAAAGTTTTTCCTGCTAATCCCATAAGAAGCTTAATCCTTCACATTAGTGATTGCATGCTTGCGGTTAAAGGACTCTTAAAGCTACTACTACAGTCCAAAAGCATTATGCAGCTAATCCCTCTTCTTCTCCTTGATGTTTTTTTTGTGTGTGTGAAAAAACAGCATATAAAAAAAAGATTATAAATGGAAGATGGTAACCCATCACATTTCATATATAAGGCAGGGCAATTTGCACATTAAAAGCCTTGTCTAATAGCACCTTATGAAACCTGCCCATAGTAGGGCTGTACAAAGTTCTTAAGAGAGGTGCTTCACACTGTGTTTGCATGAAAAAGGCCTTTCCCCAAAGTGTAAAAGTAGCGAGATTGTTTGGAAGGCTCACACAGCTGCCTTAAAGGCTGTAACTGAGACTTCCAGCAAAGCAGCTGGGTACACGCACAGAGAGACAGTCAGGGGCAGACTTTGAAACAGGTGTGGGAGCAAGCTTTGTGAATGACACTGTTGCTTTAAATGCTTTGGGAAGAGGTGCTCTGCTGGTGCTAAAATGCTCTGCCATCAATTCCTTTCATGTTTTTGCTGCCCTGGACTACTACCTTAAGCCCTAGCATCGGGGGTGATATTGTTAGATTATCAAATGACAAGAGTGAAAGTTAATATACGTAACATTTAATAAAGTGATCGTTAGAAGCGTTTGAAAATGGCATAATAGGCAAAGATTTCAGAGGAAAGGAGATGAGATCAGCTCTAAGTTTCAAGTTTACACTTATTTCAAATTCAGCAAAGAAAACTTTTTCCCACAGAAACATGACAGAACTCGAGTTGCTGAATCTGTTGAAGAGTAGCCTCAAACTTTTATATCAGAACTTCCTTTAAGACAAGGAACTTTAACTTCCTTTAATGTACATCATTTTCCAAAGATGTACATTATTTGGACATGCATGTGTATTATTCTATTCAAGATATGAGACCAACTTAAATATTTCCTCATAATATTTTACATTGCAGGGTGGATCCCAGTGTAGAGATGAAAACAAGTTTATCCTGTCCTAAGCCAATCTTGTGTGACAACCTCAATGTCACCTTTATTATTTTGTTTATACTTCATCAAAAAAAATTTTTTAATCCGGCATTTGCTCTTTTACCGTGTCATTTTGGATCTGTTTGGTTTAATATTACAAAGTTCTTTTTCCACAGGTTTATAACTCAACCATAAAAGTACAGCCCAGAAACTTGGCATACAGTATCTCCATCTGGAAGTTAAATATTTCAAAGGAAATTTGGAAACATTCAGTGGCTTACAGTGCTTACAGGTTTCAAGATTTATGTTTTTGTTCCGCTATTGTACCCTTTATAACTCACCATGATTTATCTGTGGAGGTCCTTGTTAGAAGATGTGGCAATAAACCAGGTGCTTTAGGAGTCTGAAGAAATCTGTAAGAGGGACCAGCACTCAGTGATAGAGCTCCTGTTTTGCATATAGAAGGTCTACATTTCAATTAGTGGAATTTCCAAGGTGGTGGTAAGAAGATACACGTGCAGTCTAATTTCTGATGATTACCAGCTTCCACACTGCCTGCAGAATGAGGCAGTGGCTTCAGAGAGCCAATAGGAGTACATGGAAAATAAAATCAAAGTTTCCTTCAAAGTGAGCTCCATTAAGGGCAACAGATTATTAATTCGTATTGTTGTTGAACTTTTACTCACGTGGAGAGTTGCTTAAGATTTTCTGCCTCATCTTAGGACTTCAGGGATCCTGGTTTGCAGGGTTTGTTAATTAATTTATTATTTTAGTACTTTTAACAGTAAAGGAACACACTGGAGACTAGTACTTGGTAGGGTAGAAATGTAGGGTTTGGAAAGATATTCAGATGCCGTGACATGTCTGTAGCTACAAAGATCAGAATAATGCAGCCAATGGTTTTTCCTGTGACACTCTGAAAGCGAAAACTGAACGTTGAAGAAGCAGGATAGAACGAGTATTGACCCTATTGAAGTCTGGTGTTGGAGAAGAATCCTGCAAAATACCCTGGATGGCCAAGAAACAAACAAATGGTCATAGATCAATCCAGAGCTCTCATCTGAGATAAAAATGACCTGGCTCAAATATCACCTTTTGGTTCATTATGTGAAGACCTTGAGAAATTTGAGAACTTCTCCCTTGAGAAATCCATAATGCTGGGAAAAGTAGAAGAGAAGAAGAGGATGACCAGCAACAGGGTGGATGAACTCAATTATAGCAGCAATGGGTACGCTACTAGGAGACCTGAAGTGCCAATTTGGGATAGATCACTGTGGAGAAAATCTATCTATGTGGTCACTAAGAGTTGACATTGACTTGACGACACATAATCATTTTTAACAAATATTCCAAGTAAATTAAAATTCAATAGAATGGGCCAAAATAACATTAGTAAAATTAACACAATGGAAGCTATTAAAATAAAGATGGAATTAAAATATAGTAATAGCAGCAGCACTACTAGACACATATATTTCCTTAATATTAAGAAGGTTATCTCTCTAATAGCTATGAGCCTAACCTCAGAAGGCAGGAATGACCAGTGAAAGATCTCCATTTAAGAACTTACTTTTCTTTCAACAACAGGAATACCTCCATATTTAGTTGCTATTATGTCTGTTCATAACAAACAAGACAGGGGTGCGTTAGCTATGTTTAGTTTCCAAAACAGCATCTGATCCAGTCATACAATCTGGGTATGATTGTGGAAGAGAACAGATGGATTACAACAGCAGTGGTTTTCACTTTTTTGTCTACTTCTGCTTCAAGTGATACAGTCTTCCTACTAGAGTGGTTCTTAAAGGAGAGGAAGAGGAAGAAAAAGAAAAATACATGGCTGGAGAAGAAAGAGAAGACAACACTGGGTACATTTGGACAATATGACAAACGTAGCTTGTATTTAGTGACAAATATGCCTGATCACACTAACTGGCTCATCTCTCCTCTTCTATATAACCCCTCCAATGGCCGCCACTGCTTGTTTAATGCTTCTCACGTCATCTGCCCATGAGACTTCCACTCTCACTAACCAGACAACTCAAAAATAACCCATAGCCTATTTTAGATTTCTTCCTGTGGTTGTTGGTGGGTAAAAGCATTTAACAAACTAGTAGCTCATGTTGCTGATATGGCTGTTATTGGAAAGGCATGTGGAGTGGTGGAGTGCCTGCTACAATCAGATGTGACTGAACAAAGTCATTTTTATCCTTGTTGTATCCTTCCACAGAGTTAGCTGTCTATTCTCTTAAGAACATATGGCTTCCAGAAGCCTCCATTCCTCCTCCTATTTTGGACTCAAAGAAACCCATTATAGGCCTGTGTTTATAAAGCCTCCCAGGAAACTTTCTATAACTCTGACAACTATATAACTAATGAGTTTGTTTAACAAAGTTCAACACTTGGGAATATTCCAAATCTGTGGTCAGAAGGAAAGTGCAAGGCAATTTCAGCAATATATAAGCCACTGATTAATCTAATGACAGAACATAGAGAAAAAACTCTTCAGACAAATATATTCCCTTCCCTAGCCATTTTTGGAGCTGTTTGAAGAACACTATATTTTTATCGATTTGTTTATGTTCTGTAATGTTTATATTCTGCCAGTCCTTCAACGGGTTATTCTATAACTAAGTAGGCCACATCCAGGCACTGTTGCTGTGTCTGAGGCAAAGGTAGCTGTGGCTGCCTTGGTTTCAGTTGACGTTATGCAAAGATTTCAAGCTGGAAGTTTAAAAACTGAAAAGGAAGAATTCAGCTGGTGGCTGGTTGCCAGCTGATGGGGGAAGAAGGCTGATAGTTGGAGGGAGCAGGGCTGAGGTGGTAGGAAAGAGTGAATCTTCTAATCCAGTGTTTCTCAACCTTAGGAACTCTTAAGATGTGTGAGCTTAACTTGACTTAGGAACTCTTAAGATGTGTGAACTTCAACTCCCAGAATTCTGGGAGTTGAAGTTTACAGATTTTAGACTTGTCAAGGTTGAGAAACACTGTTCTAACCTAAGGACACTTCTACACCACCAATTTTCTCTCCCCAATCTTTCTAAAGCTGTTTAAAATTGCTACTAGCCTAGAAATGTGGGGAACATGCTGACATCATCATGAGCCCTGCACTCTATAGCTGATCAATAAGAGAGCATAAA